GTGTCTGTGGAGTTTAACTCTTTCCAGTAATGAATTTCTGAAACTTTGGAGGGGGAGGGGGAGAAGCAGTGTTTCTACGTGTAATCTTTGAACACAAACTTTGAAAACTAGAACCGGTTTTGATAGAAAGTAAATGCAACTTCATATAGAGAGGACTTCTGGGGGAAGAGTAATGTTCTATTTCTTGACCTGGGTGGTGGTCCCATAGGAATTTATGGCTGTTCCCCAAACTGTCTAAGCTTTATGCATGCATCTGTATGTATGATATATATCACAATAAAAAAAACTAATAAAATTTTCTTTAAAGATCTTTAGGAGTTCAAATACTTTGGTGTACTACTTCTGAGATTCAGGGAGTTGGAGGTGATATTTCAAAGATCATTCCAGACCTCTGATTCTGTATTTATTACATATTAGTGCATCCATCACTGTCGGCTCTCTGCATTAAAGAATATTTAAAGGTGAAAAACCAGAAACTCTTCCATCTTAATCAAGATTTTTAATCAGGAATTAAGAATATTCATGACATATGTGTTATCCTAACAGATTAGTATATGAAGCAGAGGCTGCAACTATTTTCTTCCTATTTTTATTTGCTGATCATGGACAGAAACGCATTATGAAGCAACCCTTCCCTTTGAACTCACAATAAATTAAAACAAAAGCAAACATCCACCTTGAAAGTATAATTACAATGATGCTACATTTCTCTTATAAATAATAAGAATTATCATTCAACTAAAACTTAATGAGTTTACATAAGCTTCTCTGCCACACAGGAAGAAAACAAAAGTTAAGAAACTATTAAATCATGGTCACATTTCTTCTTCCCTTTTCTCCATTATATTCAACTGAATTTATCATTTTACTATCTACTAACTAATATTTTAGAAGGAACAACATAAAAGTATCTTTAAAGGTAGCTATTTAAAAAAAAAAAAACTTAAGTATTTATGTTGTTTATATTCTTCCCCTTTGGGGTGCAGTAATTCATGTCCAAAGAACTTAATAACCATTCTTTAAAACTGGTAGGACTAAAGATGGTAAAAACATATGTAGACTTAAAAAGGCTGTACCAAAATACAAAAATGTCGTGATGTTTAAAGTCAATGACCACTAATCTGTAAACTGATGATACTTACTCATTTATTTATTTTTTTAACTATTGGAAAGGATGGCAAACAATTTTAAAACCTTAAGAATGAACTTGATAAAATCAATTTCTTTCCATTTTAGGAGTGGGCAAACAAATAAAAACATGTGTGACTAAATATTCTAAATGTAATCTTGTTTTTAAAATGTTTAAATATTTTCCCTTGAAAAGTTACAAAAATGGATACTCATTCCTGTAAATGCATGATGACACCACTCACATAAAATATTTCTTTAGGCCATGGCATTTTTTTTGGTGTTACGTTATAATTTAAGGTGAGCTACATAATGGATTGCATTATAATGAATCATACAGCTCTTCAAATGACTTATCTAATTTCACTTTCCAGTGCATATATAAAACCACATATATAATTATGTTGTTTTTCTATATGCCTCTTAGGTTTCTTCTAATTAATTCTAAATGTGGTTCAGAACCCTTCTCTCTTCAGCTGTGAAAAATATAAATAGTGAAACAGAGGCAACTAGTTATTAATGTACCTTTTACATTTATTTAATTGACAAGAATGCATTCAGTTTCTTAAATTAATCCCCTAATATATTACATTTTATGCTTTCATTTAATCAGTTACATCTTAGAAGAAAAGTATATTTGTGGCTTGAAATTATTCTAAGAGCAAGTACTGTAAGATCAAACAATTCATTAATTTGGGTAAAAAAGTACAACATAAGTTATTGAAACTTATTTTCTTCAGACACTGCATTAGCCTCTGGGAAAACAAAGATAAACAGAAGTCATGCTGTCCTGGCTTTCACTGCGGCAGTCAGGGGTGATAATACACGGATGGAAGACAAACCTTACAAGGCAACGTGAGAAGGTCTATAAGAATAGCAAATACAACATGTGTGGTACTAAGAGGATGAAGCGAGGAGGTGATGGAAGGATCGGGAAAGCCTTCTAAAATATGTAATAATTAGTGAATTCTTAATAGGAAGTAAGAAAGTAAAAGCACATTAGGGAATGACAGTCCATCAGCATCTGGCAGATCCGTGAGTGAAGGAAGGGGTAGAATGTGGCACTGGCTTCAACTCTGGGTACATGAAAGTTGTGAGTGCAGCCAGGCTACTAGGCATCAGGGACAGGATCAAGAGAAAAAGGCACAAGAAGGAAGAAACAGCTCCATCTTTCATCATGAAGTGAGTGGTCTTCACCCCCCACCACAGTCATACACTGCTCTCTCACTATTTGCTGTTCGGGTGTATTCATAGTAAATGGTTTCACTCATTTCAGTTGTTTCTTGTTCACCTTTTTCACAAGATGGTACATTTCAAGAGAGCAAGGAGCTGTATTTCCAGCCCCTAGAATAATGCCTGGCATGTACTAGGCACTCGATAATATTGTTGAACAGAGGAATTAAATCAGTAAGAAGAGAGAAGTAAAAAGGGAGATGAAGAATGATGTGAAGAGTGGTCCACACAGAAAACACGATTAGAGAATAATGAACCACCGTCTCAGATGTTACCCATGGCACCAACCCCTAGGCTAATCCAGAAAGCTAATCCAGAAACCATCACCCAGCAAAAAGTTCAAAAAGAACATTCTGAAAAGGCTTTACCTATCATGTACTGCAAGAGCTTGTCAGATTGAAAGCCAGAACATCAACTGCATTTTACACATATTGCTATTTCAAGTGAAAAGTGAAAAAAAATACATCCGTAATGGGGAATAGTATAATTGAGAGCTTATTCAAATAAGTGGCTTTTTCAACATAAAATATTAATCTTTTCAATAATCATATTTGCAAGAAAGAAATGAAATACTATTGTGTGAACCATAAGTTCAAATTCCTACCCTGAGCACTTAAGTTTTTTTTCAGTCATCACTATATTAATCTGCCTTTTTTGCATTTTACTGCTGTTATGTTCAAAAATTCAATCTCCTAGACAAATGGCAATTCAGGAACACAATTCAAGTGATATATTATTCCCTTTGACTACAAAGGTATATTTTCCCATTCAGATTTTTTTCATTCAAATCTGGCAAAAGCTGTTATATCACACAAAATACACTCTCTGCTTTCTCAACCTACTGTAACATAGAACAAATTCTACAATTCCCTCATCCTTTCTCTGAAACACTTAAAATATATTTTAAATTTAAATTAAATCACAGATAAACGTTATTTATGTTATTTTCTTTGACATTAACTTGAATATTTTAATTGTATTCAATGTATCTGGTAGGTTATATGTAAAATGTCACAGGCCTTGTTATTTAAATTCCATATATGAAAACCATCTTTACCTGAAATATTTTGACATACACAAGGCAACACTGTACCTAGTATTACTGATCAGCAAAAATTAAGTATCTTTTGGTATTATAATTCCCCCTGTTCCGGGGGGGGGGGGGCGTCTTCCAGTTCCAGTACACTTCTATCTACTTCATCTTTAGAAATGTGAATCTTGCAAAAAGAAATGGTGAACTTAAAAGGAGAAAATTATGCATGCTCGTTTGATGAAGAATCTCCCCTGAACAATTTACAGCCTCAATTCCAATAACAAGGAAGTTTTTCTGCCCGACAACCCAGCCACCACCAATGATAGATATATTCTTTAATGAGTCGGCAGCTGAGTAAATTTCTTTAAGTGTACCCAAATCCCATCTTGGGATTCATAGCCATGAACAGATGGTTATTGGTTAATGCTTAGCTTATACATAGTCACAGAAGCCAATGTGCACACTCCTGAAAAGAGAAGGAAGGAGCTGCATGACTCCAGCCACGTCCTATAAACCTCGGGACTGCCATCCTTTAAACAGTGAAAGCGAGATGAGGCAATATAAATAAGAACGCTTTGGAAACTATAAAAAATGCTACACACACACACACACACACACAAGATTCATATTATGACACTACTGACTGAAACAATGTAAAGGATGTCATTGATTTCTTGTTCCCTTTCATGTAAGATTGGAACCACAAGGGGGAAAATGCCGAGACTAAAAAAATAACAGAAATGGTCCCTTTGCACTGGTCTCTGTATACAATATAGGCAGCACTGAAGGCACAGTAAGTAGTTAGATACCATCTTCTCATGTTCTCATGCCCGGGTGATTGTAATTGTCTCCCAACTCAGCTCCCTGCTTTTGCCCTTGCCACCTTATAATCTGTTCTCAATGCACAGCAATCAAAGTCAGCCTTTGGTAAAGCAGCTCATATCTCGCTACTTAACACCCCTCTCATTTGGGTCAGATTAAAAGCGAGAGTCATCACCCTGGCACGCCAGGCCCTACAGAGGCAAACTCTCCACACCCCAGCCTTCCTCATGGGTCTCTCCTCCCTCCACCCTTTCCCCTGCTCCCTGTCCTCCAGGCACACTGGCCTTCTTGCTGTTCTTTACACAGGCATGCTCCCACTTGCTGTTTCCTCTGCCTAGAATATTCTCACACCACGTATGTATCCGTGTGGTTTCCTCTCTTGCTCAGTTCAGGTCTGTGCTCACTCAATTGCCACCTTCTCAGTGAGGTCTTCATTAACCTTGATATTTAGAATTGCAAACTTCCCCATGTTCCTGGGATCACCCATCACCCTTTACTACTCCAAAGTATTCAGTCTCATTACAATATGACCTGTTTTACTTATTACTTTGTTTAATTTCTGACTGTAAGCTCTATGAGAGCAGAGATTTTTGTATGCTTTCACTGTTATACCCCAAATACCTAGCACAGTGCCTGGCACATAGCAAGACCTCAGTAAATATTTGTTAACAGATATGCAACTTTCACACATATACATGTTTGAGCTACCTGTAGACCATTACAGTATTATAACAAACTCTTCTGAACTAAGGTTCAAGCTAAATGTTCCAAAAAGAAGGGATACTCGCTTCAGCAGCACATACGCTAATATTGGAGTGATACAGAGAAGAGCAGCATGGCCCTTGTGCAAGGGGCCAAAAAGAATGGGAAAAGATTATACAAAAATGAACAACAACAAAAAAAATGAGGAACAAAAGTGAGATTTTTAAAAATCATCCAAAACAAAATAAACTAATTGACATTAAACTCAGGAGAGTTCCAACACATCCATAAAACCTTTTACTTACTTAGTCAATGTAGAATTAAAGAACACATGATAAAGTTTGTATTTCAGCCATTACTCTCTAATGGCTTCTTGGATAATCACAAATTTAACGTGTAGGATGTGTTCTCAGAAAATGTGAGCCCTTGGGGACAGGTGTGGGGAAGCCAGTACCCTTCACCCTGTTAATTCTAGGCTCCACTCACTGGAATGTGAAGATACCAAGCTACCTTTCAAGTTCTGATAGCAAAAGAATTAAGTACTTTTAAAAGAAATGCTAATTTCTTCTATGAAACCAAATCTTGCAAAAAGATGTGACCAAAGTTATGATTTTTACAGGACTAACCTTATTGGGTCCTGGTATCAAACATACTTTTATGCCATTTATCTCAATGGCCACATCAAACAGAAAAGTGGAGTTATCCTTCATATGGTGTTTGACCCCCACGGTGTGTTCTTTCCCTTCCCTAACATCCTATAACACGGATGACCTTTATATAACAAGCTTTGTACTATATACTATGTACTATGTACTGTTTCTTGTATGTCCATATTGTTTCTACATGAGAGATGCTTGAGGGCAGAAATCCTCGAGTAAGAAATACTCAATTTAACAAGGATGAATCCATTTATAACATCATCAAAGAAAAACAAGCAAAAAATGTTTCTAAATAATGGAAAGCAGAGCTGTAAGCACCAACAGGGCCTCTACATTTCCCCAACCAAGAGAAGTCAACAGGAAGGACTCCTGGCAAAGATATGATCCCCGCAAAATTTGCCTGTAGGAGCCTCAGCTTCTCATATATTCATTTTCTAATAATACAGTCAATGAAACATTATCATCCTTATTTTACACTGTGAGGAAACAGAGGTTTGAGTGAAGTGACGAACTTTAACCTGTTCGAAGTGACAGAATGTCTCAGAAGAAAGAAAAGACTTAATCCCAGGGCTGTCTGACTCAAAAGCTTGTGCTTCTTGTTACTGAGCTCTGCCCCCGTTGGTCTAGAGTTGATTACGTATGCAGCTGTGTGTTTCATATATTTTCATGTGAATGAGTTCCCCACAACTTATCCCTCTAACCTCTTGCAAAGAAACTGTATATCTAATTACAGGATAAAGAGCAGTATGTAAAAATAAAAGAAAAGGAGGATAATATTTGGGAGGAAGTGGACGTGCAAGCCCCTGAAACTGTACTAGACTAGCTTGGCCTTGCCCTAGCTATGGGCATGGGTCAATGTCAGGCCTGCCTTAAAACCATACTAGCTCCAGTAATATGTTAGTCTTCTTGTTAAGAGGAATTACTGTCTATCCCCAAATAATCAGTACACTGCCAGATAAAGGAGGGCTCAATAATCAAGACAGAGAAAAGTTCCCTAAGTTATAATCATGGTTAAATCTGGATATCTATAAATTTTCCAGGTTATAAAGAACTAGTGGACAGCCCCGAGACCGTCTTTAAAGCCTGGGTTTCAAGGGAATGTAGAATCACTGGTGACTAAGGCAGTAAGATGAAAACACAGAGCATGTCATAGGAAAAGTGAATGACTGGAAGAAGTGTGTATAAGAAGAAGAAAGAGGGGGCGCCTGGGTGGCTCAGTTGGTTAAGCGACTGCCTTCGGCTCAGGTCATGATCCTGGAGTCCCGGGATCGAGTCCCGCATCGGGCTCCCTGCTCCGCAGGGAGTCTGCTTCTCCCTCTGACCCTCCTCCCTCTCATGCTCTCTGTCTGAAATAAATAAATAAAATCTTAAAAAAAAAAAAAAAGAAGAAGAAGAAGAAAGAGAAAGAGGAAGAGAGACAGATTAGTTCCTATAAAAAATGACAGTGTTATAACAAAATGCCTGAATTTCACTTAGCATCATAACATAATTTAAGAATGGTATCATATTAGCATAGTAGTAAATTTTTTCTGGTTAAATACTAAATGGGGAAAGAGTTACCAGTTAACTGTGTGCTAACAATGTTACCCAGAGAAAAACACAAACTACACCCACCAGACTTAAAAACTGTATGAAATATAGTCATATTATTCATATCATCACAATTACTTTTAGCTATTAATAATATATTTCTACACACATACAGATATATGCATATTTTGGCAATTACCCAAAAATAATTCAAGCTAATTCCCTAAAGATTTAATCCATGTTGAAGTGTGTCCTTAAAAAAGCTGATGGCATACTTTTTGTAAAACAGAGTGCAGTAACAAAGGGTCACACTTAAAAGATGCGCATATGAAGCTACATTTCTCTTTCACACATCTTGTCTGCATTTTCAAAATTGAATAATAAGCATGGTATTTTTAACAAGATAATGTTCACTTCCTTTGCATATAATAAAAATGTCAGAATCTTAACTTTTTATGCCTACATAATGGATTACAAGGTTATAAAAATGTATTCAATATAAAGGTTTCCATGAGTTTTATAATAAAATGACCAGGAGAAATGAAAATGAGATTAAAAACCAAAAGAACTAGATTCTAGTCCAAGCTCTGCCACAAACTATCTGTGTGACCTTGATCTAAACGAAGAATGTCAAATCTTTGGCCTCCAAACAGCCAAAATCCCAACTGACCAGAGCTGACACGGAAGTTGAAACTTATCCATCCCTAGGCTGGTACCTTAACTACACTGAACTTCATATTCTGAACTATAAATTGAGAGAGTTGGCTTCTGAGTTACCTTGTGACCCTGACACTCAGATTACCAAAAAGAGCAGAGTCAGAAGTCTACCAACTGGGGCACCTGGGTGGCTCAGTTGCTAAGCGTCTGCCTTCGGCTGAGGTCATGATCCCAGGGTCCTGGGATCGAGTCCCGCATCGGGCTCCCTGCTCAGCCTGGAAGCCTGCTTCTCTCTCTCCCACTCCCCCTGCTTGTGTTCCCTCTCTACCTGCCTCTCTGTCAAATAAATAAATAAAATCTTAAAAAAAAAAAAAAAAAAGTCTACCAACTGATGAGTATTATTCCTATAAAACTGTGAGACTCCTGTTGGCCCTCCATTTTTTTCAAAGCAAAAATGCTTAATTTGCTATGTACAGTATTTTTAATTAGTAGAAGATGAGTGTATGCCAGCTGGACATAAGCCTGGGTTACAGGCAAATATTTACCAGCAGATTGAAAGAACCCTATATAAGTCATTAGACCTGTGCACTACTGAGATGATATAAGGCCAGGGCCCAGAAAGAAGAACTAAGAAAATTCTTTCTAGATTCTGAGATTTCTAAAGGTAATATACACATGGACAATCTGTATACATTTGGATAAAATATAAGATATATTCAGAATTATTTCTAAAAACAAAAAGCTCCTAACTGCTAATTTGGGGCTCTTTTATTTAAAGACTGCATGTAAAAAATCCAAAAGGGATTGTTTGTCTAAATGAATATATTCTCAAACATATTCTCAAAATTTAGCAACTTTAATCATTAATTGTAATCACTAAAAGCTTAGCCTTAAAAAATGAAATAAATAGGGACGCCTGGGTGGCTCAGTCGGTTAAGCGGCTGCCTTCGGCCTGGGTCATGATCCCAGGATCCTGGAATCGAGTCCCACATCGGGCTCCTTGCTCAGCAGGGAGCCTGCTTCTCTCTCTCTCTGCTTGTGCTCTCTCTGTCAAATAAATAAAATCTTTAAAAAAAAAAATGAAATAAAGAGTAGCCTACATTGGAGTACCCAGAAAATGTTTTATACATATGACTTCCAGCCAAAATTCAGAGTACCCAGCCTCTATCATAAGAGTCACATCGTTATTAGTAATAGCTAATTACTACTGAGTACTTAGCATGCGCTAAGCTCTTTGAATTGTTATATATCTTTGAGTCTTGAAAATAACCCAGTGAGGTAGGAACTTCTCATCTGCAAGTGTAGTTGATTATGTCATATATATTTTCAGCTGAGAGCCATATTACACTACCTTGGAGATTACACAGCTTCATTCTTCTTCTTCTTTTTTTAATAAAAAAGCAAACAAATAAATAACCAATGATAAATATCAAGGCCTCAGTTGCAGTCAGCATGTATTCATAGAGCTGTCCAAACCCAAACCGAAACCCAGCCATCTGCATTTCCATTTCTGCCTGCAATGACGTAGGAAACCAAACTTAGTGAACTAGGAAACACCTTCTATATGCCACACACTGTTAGATACCATTCAATCTCATGTAACCCTCACCATTGCCCTGGATGTATATTATCAGCCCCACCTTACAAATGGGAAAACTGAGGCTCAGAATGGCTAAGTAACTTACACTAGGCAGTCAGAGAGCAGGTACTAAATCAGGACTCTGATGTCCAAGTCAGTATTCCATAGGGTGTACCCCGGAGTTTTTACAGCACAGACACAATAGATATTCAAGCTTATGATCAGACGCCATCAAGACAAGATAAAGTCATGGACAGTGCAGTACATCGAAGATGAAAGGGAAATGAATAGAACAACTTAGAAAAAGCTGAGCATAATTTCAAAGGAAAAAAATTACAACAAATATCAAGTAAAGTTTTGCTTTACAATAATACTTGCTTTCTAATATCTAAATTATTCAATGTAGTACAGGGTAGTGTTTATATTAAACTCACAGTGACCTTCAAAAGATACTGTAGTTTATATTTTATAGTCCAATGGAATCCTATCTATTAAAGAAAGTTTGCCTCACAAAACAGACTTGGGATATTTCAATTTACAGGCATTTTCTAAAAGTAATAATATTTGTCTACAATGTTCAGTCATTATTCATGTTAGGATATAATTAACAATAAAGGGGAATAAAAACATTAGAATATGATCAGGAATGTGTTATAAAACAAGTTTACTAAGATTTTATCTTGTTTTATTTTCCAAGGATCATAATGTCTCAATATACCTGTATTGTCCTCCCAGGGAAGTAACAGATGGCTTGTTGAT